CTCCAACCATTTGAAAAGTTTATTTACAGAAAAGCTTTTGACAAGAAACATTAGAAGTTCCTATATGCACATATTTGGAAAGTGTAAAATACAAGAGATAGTTAGAAAAACTGGTCAGCTTCACGGACATTCAAGACCGGTTTGACAGGTCGCTAAAGAAAACACAGGCACCAAACCAATAAACACTCTTATAGTTATGTTTTCTTTAGTTCCATGGATTTCAATATGTATGAACACGCTTTTACATTTGATCATGAGGCGGGCTAGCCTACGATGGATAATTGTTGGATGTTGATGTTTAAGGTTAAATGATGATAGATCTTTTAATTAGGTTGATATTAATGGTATATTAGGTTGGATCATTTAGCCTAAATCATAGACTTTTTTCTTGTTTGGAAAGTGTATGCAAAACTGTTAAAATCAAGATTAAATGAACATTTTTCTTTTTAGCTAATAAAAATTAACAAGACAATATTCTTTTTTTTTTAAATGGAAATTGAAAGAGGGGTTGCACTAAAAAAACTCAATTTAAGTCGAAGTTAAAAGTGACTTTTGTGAGTATAATATATTTGTTTGTTAATTTGCGAACGAAAGTTTATCAAAGTTTGTGAGCTTAATGGATTTTTTTATTGCTTATCTAATTTTCAGTCTAGTCTTTTGATTTAATTATTTCACGCAACTACTAGTGTTTTAGAAAACCAAAAAATCCCAAATCTATTCCACTCTAGCTAGATCATTTTCGTAATCATGAACTTCTATCATGTGATCGATTCGTTCTTGTGGACTCACTGCCTTTGTGATACTCTTGACAACATTTTGGACTCCGTCCAAAGTGGAGAGTGTATTATGTGAGCCAAAGAGGCTTGAGAGTTGCTTCGATGCCATTAGAAAATAAAGTAATATCAATTTAGAGTGACTGTTTTCCGAATATACAAAAGCAAGAACCATGTATATGTGGTTATCCAATCCATTGGGTAGGACGGTTTAAGGTATTGTGGTTCCTTTTCCCAATAATTGTTGAAGATCCAGAGAGA